ATTTCCTGCTTTTGCTGGGCTGATCCCAGCAGAGCACTGGCCCCTGAATCAGACAATGTTAATGAAATAACATCATGCTCCAGCGGCTCACTCTCGTGCACAGCCGACGATCGCGAAAGGGAAACCCCCCTTCAAACTCTTTGGCCAGATCCACCTGCGATCCCCACGAGCTCATTCCCTTCCGTGCCTCAGCAGCGGCGGGTCCTGAATCGCGGGAAGCAGTAGCCTGTCCCTCTTTCCTCGAAAAGAGAGACAAACGAGAGCAGAGCTTTTCCCTTGGAAAAAATGCTCGCAGTGCACGCCGATTGCCCCCTCGGAGGCATCCCGTGCGTGCTCTTCGCCCAAACAAATAACGCATAGATCATGTGTGTCATCAGATGTTAAACAACGTCAACACAGATGCACACATCCTTAAACGCTTTACTACTGCTCACCATAATGAGATGAATAGAGATCACTCTTACCACAGAAATGTTTTGCACGCTTCAAACAAACAGTCAATGAAGACGAAGAAGAGAATGATGTGTGCTCCCGGCGCCTATTTATACTATAGTCACATCGTTAGTGACGTCATGGCTGTCGCCGGCCAACGAGTTGGTGTTTTTTTTCAATGTATGCTTCAGACACGGGACATGATGAGGCGTTCCCCCCATAGCGACCCCTAGAGGACGCAGTTCGAAGTTCCCATGAAAGGGAACAAATGTTGGTCACTTTGTATACAGCCGATACTTGTTGTATTTAAAATAGAATGTCTGAAGAATAAGTATTGTTGAAACTAGGAATGCATCTTGTTTCTCTCTATCAAAACAATTGTGTAGGACATACCTGTTTGAGTGTCATAAATATTATTTTTCCAAAATTTGTGTGCCTGTAACTCAACATGTATTAAAGTTTTCTTAATATGATTTTAGATTCTGGTTCCTAAGAAACTTTTCTTTTGGAATCTTCATTTTGTTTAAGGCCCTAAATGGTATAATCCTAGAGATATTGAGATCCCAGTGCAGCTCCATGTCCAAATTGATGTATCCTACCCATTTTCACACCAAATGTGGTTTTGTATGTATCTAGTCATTACTGCTGACAATGCAAATATGCAAATAATAACATTAACCCAGGGTTTAGGAATGTAGAGTGTGACACATCAGATTATGAATGACCAGAATTAATTGTTAACTAATTTGGGGTTAGAATGAACTAGTGTTAATAATTTCAAGTGTGAAAGATCTTAAATGTTTAAGGTACTATTAGTGATTCTGCCAAATATGCACTTTAGCAGTAGATACTACTTGATCTATGACTACGCTATTCACATTATATAACAATAAAAAAGACTAATATATTCTAATAATTAATCCAGGTTAGGCAAATCTTGGTTTATTGATGTGAATGCAATGTGTGGGGAAAGAAACCACTTTTCCCTATGAGGTGTGGGATTAGATTAAAAGATGTTACAATACTGTGTGTTTAAACTCTTGGTAGCTTCAGAAGCTGTTAAAATGAACTAAATTCCTTCTTCCAAATATCCATGAAATTGATTAACATATAGAATCTTATGAATATACTACTGAGAGAAAGGTAATGTGCCTCAACTTGACCATTTCAGTGCATTTTTAGCACTCCGACAGGTATGTTCTGTGCATATAGTTTTGATAGAGAGAAACAAGATGCATTCTTACTTTCAACATTACTTATTTGTCAGACATTCTGCTTTAAATACAATACGTATCAGTTGTACACAAGGTGACCAATATTTTGTTTTCAACCACTAAATAAGGGTAATATTCAACAACAATCTGAAAATGAGGTCCCTCTTTGAAACTGAATGATTTAGGGCCTTGAACATAAAGATTCCAAAAGGAAAGTTTATTAAGAACTAGAATCTAAACTAATTTTGTTATATCTTTAATACTTCTTGAGTTATAGGCATGCAAACTTTGGAAAAATAATATTTATGGCACTTAGACAGGTATGTTCAATGCAGTTGCTTTGACAGAATTAAACGAGATACATCTCTAGTTTCAACTTTCAACTATTTGTTCTTCAGACATGCCTCTTTAAAAGAAAATAAGCTTTGTATTTTTGCAAACTGGCCCACATTTGTTTTTTGACCACTAAACATGTGAAAAGTTTAACAATTTACTCCTGGAGCCATATTGAAATTCCAATATCTCTGGAACCGAACCATATACAGCCTTAGGAATGAAGATGCCGAAAGGAAAGTTTGTTAAGACCCAATATCTAAAAGGGCATTAAGATATCTTTAACACTTCTTGAGTTACAGGCCTGCAAACTTTGGAGAAAAAACTTTTACTAACAGACCTACCAATCTCGGTGGAAACGTAACATTATGATGCTGCCATCTTTCTGAAGTCATTTTTATCCCCCTGTAATTAGGCTCTGAATCTCAGGTGAAAATTGCCATTTTGAACCCCCCTCTACATAATAGAGATTTACAGATTACTCTGTAAATATTCATCTATGACATTTCATATTTTGGCTTTCATCACTATACATGTCTGTCTGTCTTTCTTCAGAAAAAATAGTTGCAAAATTAAAAATTTGAACCGCGGAAGTTTTTGAAATTTGGTTGATTTGACATGGAATGAACCAATAGGGAAATGCAAAAAAAACTTTACATGTTCACTTTGTTAAAAAAAAACAACAACTATTTATTCAGGACTGAAACACCACTAACAGTCATAACCACAATCCTGTCACTGCAAATCATCTGTCCCTTCATAACATGTTGATGCTAAATTTACTCTTTTGTAGATCACGTCATGACACCACCCTCATGAGTCCAGGGCTTCCAGCACTTTACCAACTGAACACAGATAGAAAATATATTGATGGGAATGAAAAACAGGTCAGACGATGGACATATGGAAGAACAGACAGAAACAAGCAGAACAAAGTCATACTGCTGGTGGGAGAAACCGGCCTTGGGAAAACTACCATCATCAACACCATGATCAACTACTTACTGGGAGTGAAGTTTGAGGATGAAGAGTTTTACCAAATCACAGAAGAAGAAAAAAACATAGATGAAACCAAAACCCAGACATCTGAGATCACTGTTTATGAGGTGTTTGTTGAAGAAAACCCAACATCTCTGACCATCATTGACACTCCAGGATACGGAAACACTGAAGGTTACGAGAAAGATGGAGAGATTTCTGAAAATCTGATCAAATTATTTTCAGCTGAGGATGGGATTCATTATATTGATGCAGTGTGTTTTGTGATGAAGGCGTCTCAGAATCGACTCTCTGGAAAAGAGCTTTACATATTTCACTCAGTTCTGTCTCTGTTCGGTAAAGATATAGAGAACAACATAGTGTTTCTACACACACATTCAGATGGAAGATGTCCAACAAATGTCATCAATGCCATTAAGAAAGCAGAAATACCCTGCAGAAGAGATGGAGACAATGAACCTGTTCACTTCTTATTCAACAACCGAAAGAAAGAGGAAAAAGATGAAGAGTATGAGCAATTGTTCAAATCATCATGGGAAATGGGAGAGAAAAGCACAAAGGAATTATTGATGCTCCTGGACGAAAAGAACAGAACAAGTCTTCATATGACCTTAGATGTTCTGAAAGAGCGAAGACGACTTGAGGCATGTGTCTCTAATCTGAAGGAGCGAATCAATGAGAGGGAGTTAAAAATTAAAGAACTGACTGATATTCAGGAAGCCATGAGACAGGACAAAACCGAAATTGATCAATGTGAAAACTATCCATTTAGAGTCAGCCAAGCTGTCAAAGAAAAATTCCCTACATATGATGAATGGTGGTGGAACAGAAATGCAACCTGTTGCTCTGTCTGTCAGGAAAACTGTCATGAGAGCTGCTGGGAGAATCATCCCTCATGGTGTTCAGTCATGAAAGACAACTTCTGCACTAAATGTACTGGAAAGTGTCATTACAGCGTACATCTCAGAGAGAATAAAAAATATGCGATCTGTAAAAAGACAGTTACTATGTCATTTGTTGACCTCAAACAGGAGTATGAACGCAGTGGTGAAAACCCTAAAACTGGCTTTGTAAATATTGCAAATGAACATGAAAGAAACATGAAAGAGTTTGATAATAAAAGAAAAATAGAAGAAAAGCTGAACAGCGATCTGGAGAAGAATAAAAATGAAAGGTCCAACCTGCTGCAGGAAGCTTATATCAGCATTGTGAGTCTGTCTAAGATCGCATTAAAAACAGACAGCGCTTTCACTCTTCAACATCTGGATTGTTTGATTCCCCAACTGAAGGAGGAGGGAAAAGATGAATGGATGAAGAACCTGGAGGATCTGAGGAAAACTGCAGAAGAACAGAAAAATAAAGGAGCTTTACATTATGTGTTGAATTTTAGCAGACAATGGAACCAATTTTACAATCATGTAACTGGTAAAAATGACTGCATTCAACAATAATGATGCAACACATATGCTGATCCATCAGTGAGAATAATTCACTCCACGATGAAACATGTAGATGAATATGGTATTAAAACAGGACCATAATTAGGTATGTAACAATGCATTAAAAACTGACAAAAGATTATAACAATTCATTTAAATTTCGGTGGATGTGCCAAAGTTAATTTTCACTTCTCTTAAATGCATACAACAACACAATCTCACATAATCACATGTAAAAACTTGAAAAAAGCTTTGTTTTCTTCTATGTAAAATACATTTATTATGAATATATTTACATTTGTGCATTTCTATTTTGAATAATGTTTAATATGTGATACTATGTTTAATTATTTAGATGGTATTATCACCGCAGGTTTCTCAGTAAAATGTTTTTATTGTTTAACATGGAAATGAAACATGAATGTTTTGGCACTGGTGTAGGAAACTTTTTCCTCGTCGAAGCAGAGACCAGGAGACTCTTAGATATCTTCAGCAGAGTTCTTTATTGAGAATGCGCTGCGTGGCGCTGCAGTCATCAAAAGTCTGACTAAGGCAGTGATACATTGTAGTTTATATACATTTTAAGGGGGAGGGATACATTCAGTAGAGGTGGAGACAATCTGACCCATAGCATGCAAATGAAGTACAGGAATCAGCCCGACACGGGAATTTTCCCAGCCTTGATCTCATCAGCATAACAGTGTCATTCAAATGCATAGGTGCTAATCCAATCAGTATAACTACTCAAAGACTGGGGCAAAGTTGTAATAGCCATTACAAACAAAAGGTGATAATCTCAGTAATCTGGTTCATTTGACTAACAATAAGAGAACAGGAACAGACAGGAACATCTTGCTACAAACTTTGCTTAAGAGAATCATTTGTCTGATGTAATTTACCTTAAATGCTAAATACAATGTACTTCACCTTAGTTTTTCATGTGATGCTATGTCAGAACATAGGATCAGCATATTTTAAACAGATTCTTAAATTTGTTATCCCACACTGGTAATGCCCAAATAACCACCTCTGTCTGATATTTGATAAAAAAAATAAAAATAAAAATTGTTAAAACAACAAATATGACAAATATATTTTTGTAATTTTTACCACTAGTGAGCCTCCATTTTGGAGTGACAGTTATCTATAATGATGTTACATTTGACACCGATGCTCCAAGAGGAGGGGTCCAAAATGGTGCTCAGATCAGTCACAATCTGATGAGCTCCACACACTCAGCTGTTTATTTTGAGGTGTAATAAAGTACAAAAGTAACCCTCCAGCTTAGGTGAGCCTTCCTTTCTTCCTGATCTCCATACAGAGATCGAGAAGGAATGGAAGAGGCCGTTTTCCTCACGCATCTATCGATTCCAGCATACGAGTTATGCCAACATCGAGGCGATGAGCGAAAACGGCTATGAGAAGATGCCCCCCGTAGAAGAGATGCTGGCTAGCTATTTCTCTATGGTGAGACATCCTCTCTTAAGACTCCCTCCTGACCATCTAAGCCCCTTCAGGATACATCTCGCTTGAATTGCAGGGCATACGCAGCAGCAGGTCAGGCTGTCGCTTCGTTGTACACAATGGCGGTGCTTCACGAAGGTCCAGGTCTGAGCCCGAACAACACAGGGGTCCTGGCCCATCTCGGTCTGAGGATCAGAGATGGACACAGAAGGCTAGTCTCGCGGCTCGAGCTCCTCCCCCGCCTGCGATTAGGGGTAGGAGGAATTGCGGGTCAAAGGGAGGTAGGCAAGACCTAAGGGATGTGATCCAGACAAGGCGTCAGCGCTTTTGTCCGGATCAGAGTGATACTTGAGTATCTACTCATTTCCTTCGGGGGTCTTACATCTGCCCTTATCTTCCCCTTCCTAATTCCCCTGTAACCACCATCTCTCCACCTGACCGAGGTTAGGTAGGAACTTCCTGCATTACAGTCTCCTATGCTGGACCTAGGATGTATGGTTGGTTCTATGGCTTCATAGTGACCACCTTACTGATGGTCCGAACTAGAGGCTTCCTTGGGTCGCTTCTTGAACGGGGCTCCTGCGTGGGAACATAGACTGTAAAAAGAGATGGATGACACACCCTCAATCTCTTCCATTGAAGAAAAGTGAAGCCGCCATTGTCCCAACAGGGCGTGGCTATATTGCGCTGATTTGGAACCAGAGTCTGCGCAGTAGAGAACTCGGGACCAGAGTCTGCGCAGTAGCGAGCGAAGTGGAGCCACGTCCCGCCCACACTCCTGCAGAGTCAATCGCAAGCATACGCCCCTGTTTTAATTAGCCTGAATGCTCCAGTTTTTGTCTGCTGACAGCATTGTGTTAAAATAAGGTAAATACAACGCCAATATCCTCCTAACGATCCTGAAAAAGTCCATTGGCAGTTCACTCAGAGAAGCTGTCAGTCTCAGCTGTCAGTCATAACGTCACACTCCCATTTTTATAGCATCACTTAACTAACTAAAACCAAAATTATTTAAAAAATGAACACTTGAACTTACATCAGCGTACCCCCAGTAATAAAAGGATTATGATGCTCCTTCACATTCTATAAGCGCACAAATCAACTCACAAAAAAAAAGTTAATAATAATAATAACAACTCATTTTGTCTCCCATTTCGCAAAAAAAATATATATATATTGTAACGGGGTGAAGAATCACACGACAAGTAATCTCAATCAATACCCCGGAGGGTGGATTTATTGGGGTACTGGGGGTTCGTGTAAAGGTCCAGGTAGGTGCTCCGGTGCCGTGAGTGCTCTCTTCCGTCTTCCCAGTGCAGAGGGTCAGAGAAAAGCATCAGAGCTTCAAGAAGCTTTATGATCATTTTGTGGTCACACTTTTTAAGGTCCAATTCTCGCCATTAACAAACCATTATCTACGACTTCTGCCTCAATAAACTCCTAATTTGCTGCTTCTTAATAGTACGGTAGTTGTTAAAGGGGTCATATGATGCTGCTAAAAAGAACATCATTTGGTGTATTTGGTGTAATGAAATGTGTTTATGCAGTTTAAGGTTCAAAAAACACATTATCTTCCACATACTGTACATTATTGTTTCTCCTCTATGCCCCACATTTCTGAAACTCGTCGATTTTTACAAAACTCATCGGTCTGAAAAGCGAGGTGTGCTGTGATTGGCCAGCTATCCAGTGCATTGTGATTGGCCGAATACCTCAAGCGTGTGACGGAAATTACCATACCGTGATGATGCCCTGTCCGGCCGGAGGGACGAGACAAAAAAATTAAAACCCATTATAAACGAGGCATTTATTGCATCCAGTGGGGACATAATCAGATCTTCTTTATGCACCAAGAGCTTGTAACACTCCAAAGAGAAAGGAACAATTGAAATCGCATCATATGACCCCTTTAAGTTTAGGTATTGGGTAGCATTAGGGATGTAGAATATGGTCATGCAGAATAAGTGCTTTATAAGTACTAATAAACAGCCAATACTGTATGTTAATAAGCAACTATTTAATAGTGAGAATTGGTCCCTATACTAAAATGTTACCTTTTCCCCCCTGCAAATCAGAATGCACAGAAGCAAATATACTTTTATGTTTTTACAATAAAAAATACACTAATTGGTGCATTTAAGACACGTAATGCCTTCTCCCAAGGTTTTTTCTCCATTCTGTCACCGATGGAGTTTTGGTTCCTTGCCGCTGTCGCCTCTGGCTTGCTTATTTGGGGACACTTCATTTCC